TTCACTGTATTTGATTCTGGTGCTCTTCTTGAATTTACATTTTTCTAATTTGGGGAGGGGAAGGGAAATAACAAAATGCTGAAATAAGGATATAGGTTGACCCATTGTAACAATGAGATGTACAAGACACTATGTTGAAAGCAAACTTTACAACTTCGGTGCAAGGGTAGAAGAGCTTGGGAGGTGGAGAGGGAGGGGATGGTAGGGGAAAAGCAAAGGAGGAGGTAACAATGCCCCATAGGAAACGCACTCATGACCTCATTCATGTGCTGTAACTCCTCTGTACAGTACTATCACAATAAAAATATATGCAACAAAAAATACAAATAAAGATTAGTTTTGGAATACAATAAAAAAAAGAAAAGAGGAACATGCTGAATCCAAGTGTAAAAAGACATCCAGAGAAAAATGAAGGGAGGAGAGGAATAAAATAAGTAATAAAACAGTGATAATTTTAAAAATAGAAAGACTAAAGCATTACATGTCAACTTAGGGACAGATGAAAAAAAGAAATAGCTGGAGAAATCTGATGGGTCTATGTACTCAAACTATTATAGCACATCATTTTTTCAAACTAGGATTGTGTGGCTATATCATGGAGAAGCAAAATTGCATAAGCTGTGTATTTCATTAAAACTTACTTGGTGCCAATTTGTGGTATGCTTTGGCATCAATCTGAATTAAAAGGAAAAATAAATGAAGCAAATGTTAGGGTATATCTGACAAACGTGACACAAGCTATTCAATTAGAAAAAGAAAAAACACAAAAAGACATGTTCCTTCCTCATCCTTTTCTTCCATGAGTTACCTCCCTCCTTTCCTTTCCTCTCATTTTCTTCAACATTTATTGTGATAACCATCATAAAAGTAGAGAATAATTCTCAGAGCAATATTAGTGAGCAAACAACTCCACTGTGGTAGGACAGTTGCTATGAACATATCTCAAATAATTGAATTCTAATCAATCTTCTAACTACTTCATATGGTAAATCATTTAACATACACCACATTTTTATGTGATAAGAACTGATCCTATCCACTCTTTGCAAATGAGAAAACTGAGGTGGAAATATTTGATGCTACTTATATAAGGCCATCTGTCCTATAAATCGCAAAGTGTAGTTTTGAATGCAGACACCAAGGCTGCATACCACTACTTGGCAATGGTATGTGATGTAAATACAGATGACACAATTTATCACCTTGAGGTTACAGAGAAACCCAGGGCTGGAGTCTATAGAAGCACAAGAAATAAGCTAATTTTTTTTCAAATGTGTCTGCTTATACCACATCACTAAAGCCATTAGTCATTACACAATATGTTAACAATTTGGTGAGACTTGTCTTGTGGTGGGAAAAATAATGGCTCATTCATCAAACTCAACATTTTAAGTATGTTACAAAGAATTAATTAGCAAAAGTTTTCTAAGTAGAACAAAGTTTTCTTACTTGCCTGATGAAACAACTGTTCTTTAGGCATGAAAACTTTTTGAGATCCCGTGAGGTAGGTCTTCAAGGTTAATGCAAATGGAGTAGTGACAAGTGGAAAATCATGCTTACTTTGAATAGTGAAGAGGAAGCTTTTACAAAACAAAGGCCATTGTACAGATCCAAACATATACCTTGGATTTCATGTCTTTAAACACCTTGAAAGTCGCTGTCATGTGCCAAAAGCACAGTGCTTTCTTAGATAATATTTATGAAATAATGAAGATCTTTGAATCAATGTCTCTGAAACGTAGTGCAACATAGTATATAAAGGCTTCTTTGTCATTGTGGAATGCAGGCATTATTTGGAATTAGGAGAATGGTGGTGTAATATTCCCTACTCAGCAGGACTGCAGAAGATCACATGGTCAGGGCATGCCTGAACTACATATGGAGTTCAAGGGCAGCCTGAGCTACTTAGTGAGACACTTTTAAAATAAAATGAGAGAATCTGGAATATTGCTCAATGGCATAGTGTTCCCTTCGCCTGCAAGGGGCCCTCGCTATAATCCCCAGTATCTCAAAAGAGAATTCTGAAATGGTTAATTTTATGCAAACTATTCTTTTGAAGAGTAGACAAGTGTCCATAATGAAATGAGGACTGCCAAGAAAAGAGCTCCTGCTTCCGCAGAATTTCATGGTTACTTTTTAACAAAGTGCTAAACAGAGTTACTTTTTTAACACAAATTTGCTTACCAGTATGTTATAAGCAGATATATTTAAATAATAATAATACAGTTAATCATCTCAACAAAATAAAGGTGACATTTTAACAGTGAACAAAATGTCACCATTTTTTTTAAAGTAACTTTTGCCTTAGAACATTTGATCGTACATTTGATTGTATTTCCCTTGACAAACCTCTTTAAAGGTAATAACCTTTGAAAGGTCTTGTATCTATTTTTCCCCTATGGACAGAATTTCCTACTTTGTTTGAAAATATTTAAAACAGTTCTCATTATTTTACAAGACCAAAAATTTGCCCAAGCTACCACTGAGTAATTGGTAGATATATTCAACAATGCTACAACCTGGATTCAATTTTTTCCTCTTTTTATTTCAGGTACATATGTACATTATTGCATGCATAAAATAATAAGTCAGTATCAATTGTTAATAAAAAAATCAAAACCATTTAGTGAGCCTGAGGGGCAGGTTGGCAATAGGAGACAATAGAGTGGCCAAGGCATACAAAGAAGGCCCACTGAGGTTGGCCAGGCAACCTGCTTTCTGCTTGACCAGTTGAGTGAACTTGTCAACTTAGCTTTACCTTTCTGAGTCTCAATTTTCTCAATACTAAAATAAAGTTAGTAACAGGAACCACTTGATTAGATTCCAGTAAACATTATTCAGATGTTGTAGGGAAAGTGATGATACATACCTACTCAGTAAGTGCCAGTTATAAAGTATTTAGATACAGTAGCTTTGCTACAAAGAAAAGCCACTATGTAGTTATACAGAACATAGAGCAATTTCTAAATTACATTCATATTTTCTATTGTTATTATAATGTTCCCTAAAAGTTTGTGGGCTCACTGATGACAGGATTCTTTCATAGTCAGCCCTGTGCCATCTAGGAAGTTGTGCCTGCCATTTAGATCTCTAATAGGTACCACTAAATTGAATAGAATTGAGAAAGAAAAGCTACAGAGAGGTCATTAAAGCTTTGCAGGATTCAGTATTTGCAACTGAATTACACACACACACACACACACACACACACACACACACACACAGACTGTCCTCTGAGTAAGGGATGTCACACTCCTCTAACACTCCTCTAAAAGTTCACCAGATCCCACATGGTTAAAGCAACAGTCTTGTGCAGCTTGAGGCTGAACTCTGAAATAGGGTTCCAGCTGAAGTCAACAGGCGAACTCCTTTTTGGAGTTCTTAGCATTTCCTTTCTGTTTTATAGGAACCTACAGTGATGAGTGGCTACGGTGAAGTCAGGACAACACTGCAATGTGGATGGGTGCTTGCAGGTAGTCTAGGCAGCAGGTGTGGCCACTAAAGGCCATCCACAACATGAACATCTTTGTGTCATTGCAAAAGATAAAATGGGCAAAATGTCAGCAACTCTGACCATGCCAGCCCAGCTGCCCTAACTCACAGGTGACTCATCCCATTCTTGTTCTTTGTTTCTCTGTCTGGTGAACTTAATTTTCTAGAAAAAAAAATAAAACAACTTCAAAATCCTTAGTATTTTCATTAGGTCTGTGAATGTTGCACGATCTCAATGTATTTATTTTAAATAGGTTTCCAAGATAGTCATGTACTTTGGGATTTTTTATGATGTTTTGGGGGAGCACACTTTATTCATTAAATTTACTATATGTAATATTTTCTGACAGTAGAACAATCTTATTTTTTCAATTTTAATAAAACAGTTTTACGGATTCCTAACTTCGAAGAAGCGGAGGGGGTGGGGGGAGGGAAACATACAGCCCTATAAAACAGAGCAATTTCACAAGTTTCCAAACTCCAACTTCTTTTATAGCCTCCATTTGGTAATTACAGAGATTTATATACCTTTTCTCATTCCCCACAAAATTCAGAGCTGAGCTGTCTTGTTGACTTAGAATCTGACTTAGAGGTCTCCATACTCATTATCTTTGATAATAAGCTGTTAGATTAAATTAGTGATTGAAACTAGTCTATTTTGAGAGTGAGAGAAAGAGGTATAAAATTAATTTATGACAACATAATCTACAGATAATTTTCATGTATGATCAAAAATATTTCAGGAGGTATCTTAATAGTAATTGATCACATAGAGCTGACAGAGGCACTGTTACTGCTTTACTAGTAAGAGCAGGATGCCATTTGTCTTCCCTTGGGTCCAGATCTTTAGCCTAACCTGAGAATTCCTCATTTGTCAATAAATTAACATATTCTAAAACTATACAAAGAAGAATAATAACACAGAAGTTGCTGATGCCACAGGTAAAGTAATGTCACCCACATCAGTACATTCTACAGCTCTTACTATCAGCAGGACAGAAGATATCCATTGATAAATAGTTTTATGCACATAAGACAGGTATGAGAGAGACAGTATTCCTTTAGAGAGATCCATTTTCCTCCCCAGCATTGCTGCTTCATATCTTCACATGAGAAAGTATTTAAAACACATGCTTTCGAAGAATATTTAGTTACAGCATGAGATAAAAAGAAGTAAGGAGAGGAAAGGGGAGGTGATGTGAAGGAAGAGGAGAGAAGGGAGGATGCAGGAGAAGTTAGGAGAGAAACCCAGTGATTCTGTATTTGGTATTTCCTGCACCAGCAGTTTCTGTCTTAATACATATTGGTGAATTAATGCTTGTTAAACTAATTATGTTGTTTTTGTACTATGTGTTAGTATTTAAAAGGCCAGATAGCTAGAGTATGTAAGTTGAATCTTATACTTAGGAATTTCTAGCGTACATTCCCTTACAAACTTTTTAAGTTGTATTTGACAGAAGTAAGGATAATCAAAACCTGGAAAAAAAGAAAAGATGATTTTTTTTTACCGTGCGTGCATCCCATATAGACAAGGTCTTGTCTGCAGAGCCAGTGAGAAGTGTGTTGGAAAAGGGAAAGAACTCAATGCTGTTCACGGAATCCGTGTGTCCGTATAAGGTATACCTGCATCTTTCACTGAAAGGAGAGAAAATGAGTGTTAAAATTTAAGAAGATACTATGGGAATGTTTCCTTTTTTGTATACAATGCCAAAGAAGTATTATAAGAATCTGTGATGTAAAGAAAAAAAAAAAAAAAAAAAGTTTTGTCTAAAAAAAAAAAAAAAAGAATCTGTGATGTAATTTTAAATTACAAAATTCTTAAAAAATTCTAAGCACTTGAGGAATTACAAGCATAAAATTGAGTAAGATTAAATTCTCTTCAGTTTATAAAATTGTCTTAAAAAGTCTTCTTTATACTAGCATATTTATATCATGAAATAAATATATAAAAGTAGTCTCCAACTTATACAGAAGTATGTTAAGAAAAGAAAACCTTGCTGTAATCAAAAATGCCAAACAACCTTTTCACTGTATTTGATGCTGATATAATTTGTGAAGGGGAAGGGGAAAAAAAAACTGTTTAAATAGGGTTACAGGTGGGGCTGGGAAGGTGGCTCAGTGGTAGAGCGGTTGCCTTGCATGCCTGAGGCCCTGGGTTCGATTCCTCAGCACCACATAAGCAAACAGAAAAAAGCCGGAAGTGGCACTGTGGCTCAAGTGGTAGAGCGCTCGCCTTGAGCTGAAGAGCTGAGGGACAGCGCCCAGGCCCAGAGTTCAGGCCCCAGGACTGGACCCCCCCAAAAATTAGGGTTACAGGTCGACCCATTACAATGAGATGTACAAGTTGTTATGTCGAAAAACGAACTTTACAACTTTGGTGGGTGGGGGTGGAGGAGTGGGGGGGGGGTTGAGAGGGGAAGGGATGGTATGGGTAAACAAAGGAGGAGGCAACAATGCTTGATAAAAAATGTACTCACTATCTTGCCCATGTAATTGTAACCTCTCTGTATGGTATTTTCACAATAATAAAGCAATTAGTTTTGATTGGTATGAGGATTGAATACAGGATATCAAACAACAAATGCCTATTATTTTTCTTTGTTTTCTCTCAGCTTTGGCTGTATGTTTGATTCACCTGAGACCCATTTAGAAAATATTCATAAAAAAAGAAAATATTCATATGTAGTCTCAAGCTTCAGCTCTTGCACTCCAGTTCATCTGGGAACAAGCCCAGTCACTGATGTATATTTATGCTTCTCCTGGTTTTTGTGATTTGCCTCCAGGGCTTAGAATCTAAACCAGTGTTTTTCAAAGTGTTTTACCCAGACTAGCATTACCAGCATCACTTGGGAAACGTGTCTGAAATGCAGATTCTTATCATCATCTCAAACTTACTGAATCAGAAACTTTGGAGTGGGGCCCAACAATCTGTTTCAGCAAGCACTCCATGGGATTCCTATGCATGCTCAAGTTTGAGAGCCACTGATCTAATCCATTAGTAATGAATGACTGAGAAGGAAAGACAACTCCAGCTTTGCCTTTTGTCATGTTTTAAAAGGGGGTGAGTCTTACAACTGGGAACATCTGAAGCAGAATGACTTTTCTATGTTATGATTTTTTTCATATCTTCATTGTAAAGGTGTCCAACAGGAGGGTTACAGTTATATAAATAAGGTAATGAGTACATATCTTTTTAAACACTGTTACCTCCTCCCTCATTTTCTCCCACTTCCTTTCTCCCCCTCCTCCTCCCCAAGTTGTATAGTTCATTTTCAACTTAGTGTCAAGTGAGTATCATGTTTGCGTTAGTTTGTCATTTGTCCTGCTGTTTCTGAGATTCCCTTTCCCTTTCACAAATGGGATAAGCTTATATACAAGACAAAGGGCACGGAAAATGCATTTATAAGTCAAGTTTTAAAGTGAATAAAGGGGAAACAAGGTAATTCATTGTTAGTGTTAGTTCGTTAATTCCTGACTGTGTGGGATCTCTTTGGTTTGAGCCCTGCCCATGCAATAGTACGGTGCACTGGGAAAACTTCTAGGGCAGAGTGAGACTGGATGCCAGTCCTATTGGCAGGAAATCCATAAACAAAGTCTTTTAATCTTGGTATCATTGTTTATTGCATGAATAAATTAATACACTCAGATTTCCAGTACACCTACAAAATGCTGAGATTCTTTTAAGCATTGATGAAAAGAAGCAAAGTCAACTTGAACATGACATCTATGAACGATTAGGAACAAACTTTTCTCTTCCTAGGTTATGTTTTGGCATTTTGAAAAGAAAAGAGACATTAAGACTTATATTTAGATGTATATATATTAAAATTATTCAGAAACAATCTACATAATAAAATAAAGTATTATCATCATTTATATATAGAATGAAGAAAATAAATTCATTAATAAAGGACATTTTACATTAATTTCTTCACCTCAAAATTTATGAGATAGTTGACAACAAATTATAGCCTGTGGGTGAACTGCTTATTTTTGTGAATAAATGGTATCTGAAGATGTCATTTGCACATTGTCTATTGCTGTTTCTCTAATAAACTATCAGAGTTCTTCTTGGTCAACTGAGACCATATGGATTATAGGTTAAAATATTAAGCATATGGTTCTATAAGAAATACAATTTCTGTGATTTATACCAGTATATTTGAAAATTGACAGAAATAATTGGATATTACTCATGATATTTAATTTTTTAGAAATATTGAAACTTACTGGATAAATTATTTTCTTTTAAATAACGCTTTCTGAAGTTTTATTTAGAGATTTCTAATAATTCTAAAAAAGTATATGCACAAAATATTTGTTTAAAAGTTTATATTCTAAGTCCACTATTTTGAAATAATTCTGTATATATTAGTATAATACAATAGTATAATACAAGAGGAAGTGAATAGAGAAGAGGAACAGAAAGAAAGAGGCAGAGACAGAGATTGAAACACTACTCATCTCTTGATCTTTCTCAGTTTGTTTTTCATCTGCATTTCTTGATTTATAAAGTCATAATATTTTTCATTTAATGTTTGGTATGTAATACAAATACAATTTAAGAGGTAACAGTTTTATAATGTCTTTAAAATTACATAATTTTGTCCAAGTTCTTAGTTTGGTATTTTAAGTGATTTTTGTGTATTCTTTTTACTTCAGTAGTATTTGGTTTACATTAAATCATTTGATAATGATTAATGGCACACAATAACTGAGAGAACTCACTGTAAGAGGAGGAAAAGAAGATAATCTTGAAAATCTATTCAGGTGTACTGTCTTTCACAAAATTTTCTCCCCCTTTGTGTTACAGACTTGATCCATAAAGTTTTTCTTGCCTCCTTTTTTGTGCCTTAAAGTACAGATGGGTCTTAGTCCAAACCTCTTGAGCCAAAGGTGCTATATTAATTCTAAATGTTCTTGGCTCATGAACATAATCAAACCACCGAATCAATGTCAGTCTGTTTTACCTAATCATAAAAATGATTTCCTAGGATTCAGTCCTCCAAAGTGATAGAATATCCAGTGGTATAATTCTCCTCACAGAATAAAAATTTGTAAAATATATGCATATAATGTAAGATACCCACATCTGGAATTAAACTTAGAAATAGCACAGGATTATGATGCTAAAGAGAAGGAAAGAAACAAGTGTGTCTTCTTTGACCTCCTAGAGTCCCTAGTAGAAATACAAAACTAGAAGCCAGGAGAGCTGAAATCCCACTCACTATCAGAACAGTGAGAGCATTCTAGGTTGTTGAGTTATATGGAATTTGTGGTTCAGGTTGAGCCTGGGATGGTAGTAGTTTGTATGAAGATTTTCCATGAGTTGCTTGCAAGGGTCTATATATTATTTCCATAAAATAAGATTTCACAGGCATAGCAGAGATTTCCTACTCTACCATAGAGACCAAACCATGGCCCTTGTGACTGAGCATTGCTAGAAGTTATCGTGTAATCCTAACCTGATTGTAGAGACCTCTTCTGGTACCTCAGGCTCACAGTTGAGCTTTTAAAAAGAATTCTACTATAGGAGTAAGAGTCGTGTTCATGAGCTTCATTAAAAATGAAGTTAGACTTTTCTTGTTGAAGCATGAAACCAAGCAAGGAAAGGTGAAAATAAGCTTAATATACTTACACTGTTCACTACCTTATTTGGGAAATCAACCTACCATAGTTTCTTTAGATTTTTCCACTGATAACACTTAGCATATATTAAAACTTTGCCATGTATAAATATATATAAAGAGAACAGCAGTTAAATCTAAAAAGCATACAAGTAATAAAAACTGACCCTGAGTCAATTATTGGTAATCAAAGACTTAACCAACCCATTATAACCATGTTCAAGAATTTAAAGGAAGAGATTAATGGGTGTACTAACAGAGATTCAGATGATAAATTACAAACCTTTAGAAGAAGCAGTGGGGGTAGAAAATTAAATGCTGCCTCTTTGTACAGTTAATATATACTTATAAATACAGGATAGGGAAGATATGTGAAATAAAAATTTCCCTACCGCTATGACCCAGCAATCCCACTTTTGGGCATTTACCCAAATGATCATAAACAAGACCATACTAAAGTTACCAGCACAACTATGTTTACTACAGCATTGTTTACCATAGCTAATATATGGAACCCAACCCAGATGCCCCTCAGTAGATGAATGGATCAAGAAAATGTGGTATATACACACAATGGAATTCTATGACTCCATCAGAAAGAATGACATCACCCCATTTGTTAGGAAATGGAAAGACTTGGAAAGAATTATATTCAGTGAAGTAAGCCAAGCTCAAAGAAACATAGGTCCCATGGTTTCCTTTATTTGCAATAACTACTATAAATGTAGGACAAGCAGAAAAGGTCCAAAGCTATGTACATATGACCATATAACATGATGTCAAGCGAAATGAACCCCAAGACAGGGACACATTTTTTCTTTCCTGCTATTATTTTTAATTTATTTATAATGTACTATGTGATTTTTTTTGTTTCTTTGTTAAGTTCCTCCCCATGGTATAACCCCTCTTTTCAATGTATTTGATTTCAGTGTCCTGCATCTTGTATATACATTTTTCTAATTTGGGGAGGGGAAGGGAAAAAACAAAATGCTTAAATAGTGATACAGG